TTTGTGCCTGTATGCATAGAATTGCAATGTGAAATACAGATCTTACAGTGATTGTAATCATAAACATTCGAAAGCCACTATTATAGTAGCTGAGAGTTGTTAAGAAGCCTAAATAATATAATGCATGTAAGATTCTTGCATAGAGCCTGGTACATAGTAAAGACTCAATAAATGCAGTTATATATCACTATCGTCAAGGCCAGCTTCATGGGCGTTCAACCTGGGTAGTCACACAGGGCCCTACACTTAGAAGGGTCCCGCACTTGGTTTGATGCTGTGCTGTCACCATCTTGAAATTCTTAATGACTTTGAAGAAAGGGTCCTGCGTTTTCATTTTTCACTGGCTCGCACAAATTATGTAGCCAGTCCTGACTATTTTGTATAGTTATTATTTATTAAAATACTTATAATATGAAATACTTAATTATCCCTTATTATTGTCAAATTCTATCTCTGTCTCTTATCAGCTAGAGGACTGTGAGTGAGAATACATAAAGGATCTGCGTCTCAGTTTCCTCTCTATAAAATTGGGGTAATAGCAGTACTTCCCCATGAAGTTGTGAAAATTTAAACAACACAGCATGTGCCATGTGCCAAGAAGAACACCTGGCACACTCCAAAAATGTTAACTATTTTTATTATTAGCTTTACCAAAAAAAGTCAACCTTGGGCCTGGTTTCTCCACTGCACATTTTGGGGTGGGGATTATTGAACTAGACCGATGGTTGGAGAACTTGTTAGAGCACCCGTTACTTTGAGAATCTGATGGCTCTCTGAGGAAACACCTCTCAGAAGAACACAGACAGTCCATGCGCATACGCACACATCTTGCCTGCAGCTTCAGGGCAGTTATGTGCTTGTGAGGCCAAACAAGGCTCAGACCCCGGGTCGGGTCGAGAACCTCAAAAAGCAAAGATCGCTAATCTTCCCTCTAGGCCTGGAGTCTGTGGGTCTCTGGGGTGGGAACAGCTAGGCAGCCACACAGGACATTACTACTTAAGGGCCCGGTGTACGTTTGCTTTGGAGTTTTAAGTCAGCAGCTATTTTTAGCTTGGCTATATATGGCCAGCGGGGGAATGAGAGCTATAGGCAGGGGAGGGGTGCCAGGAGGCTTATGGGAGGGTTTGGGAAACCTGAGCTCCTTTGCCTGTGCCACTTTCGCTTTCCCACAAGAGAACCGGAGAGCTTAACCTCCAGCCAAAGCAACAAGCATGGAGGAGAGAGAGGGGCTGTGGAGGTGGGGACGGCAGGGGCTTGAATGAAGATGCTAGGTCAAGTCGCTTTAGAACAGTGATTTTCACACTTTTTTGACCATCTGACCTGCAGTGGAAAATACACTTGACATCATGACACACACATAAACACACACTATACATATGCGTATATTTTCAGCTGAACAAACATTTCAGGAAACAATATCTTGCTCTCTATGAAACATCGATCATTTCTGTTCTGTTCTTTCATTTTTTAAAAGCTGCAGGTCACGTGCCATGAAATAGATTTCGCCACCTATTAATGAGTCAATACTTCCAGTGTGAAAAAAACTGCTGTTTTCTTTGGATTAGAGCAGACAGTCACCTGTAACATTTGACTGCAAGGTAAGGTGGGGAATGTAAGAAATGGGACATATAATCTCTTTGATCACTCCTTCTCAAAACTAGGAATAAGATGCAAGTTTCAGTTTGATCTCTAGCTGGACAGCAAGTTTTGGACCTGCTGGCTTTGCATACTCTGTTCTCTTGACCTGGATGACTCGTCCTCCACCCTTGTCACCTGGCTTGCCACTTACTCCAGGAAGCCTCCGTGAATGCCTAGGTCTGGTTAGCTGCCTGCCTCTTGCTCCCTCACTCCCAAGTAGGACTCCCCTGCCTAGCACCCAACACACTGCAGTACAATTTTGTGTTAGATTCTCCAGAAGGCAGAAGTCTTTTCCATTCTGTTCATTTTTATACTCTCCCCGCTGCCACCACCACCCGCTGTAGTGTATGTTGTGCTGGCTTCATAATAATCACTCAATAAATATTCATTGAATGAATTAATGATAGTCAATAGTAATAATAGCAACTACCATTTATTGAATACCTATTTATCCCATGAGAAATCTTAGGAGAGATCAGGATAAGTCCATTTGATGGATGAGGAAACTAAGGCTCTAAGGAGATTAAATAATAGGGTAGTGGCAGGATGTGTAGTAACCCAGAGCTGCCCAACTCCCAACTGTTCCTAATCACAGGATCTTATTTGTCCACATTCCCTTCAGTGCTACCCAGGATGGGGCAAAGGGCAGGTCCTTAGTAAACCCTAGGGGAATCGATGACAGGTTGATGAAAGAGATTTTCCGAAGCAGTGGCCATATCTAATTTTGGAGAGTCGCACCTCGTGTGTGGCTCGGGAGAGAGGATCTGTGAGGTTTCCAGGCCGCCTGGATGTGGGGCTGTCTCATTCGGGAGAGGAGTCTAGGCCTCTGGAAACCAGAGCAGCATGTCTTCTGGTGACATGGGCACACCTAAGATAAAACGCAGGGCCCTGCAAAGCCTCCGTGATCTGGCCCATGCCGACAACTCCAGCGCCAACCCTGCCTGTTCCCCTCAGTCACTCTGTTGCCGACACCTGGTGTCCTTGCTGTTCCTCAAACATGCAAACCCAGTCCTGCCTCATGGCCTTTGCAATTTCCATCCCCCCCAACTAGAGTCCTCTCCATCCTGCTCCTCAGACCATCCCATCCAAAAACATCACCCTCTCCCTTCTATTTTTTTTCATAATATTCGTTAAGTTCTGGAAATTAAACATGACTTTGTTTTCCAGTTTATTTCTGTCTTCCTCACAGGACAGGGAACTCCCTGAGGACCTGGCTTGTTCACTGCCCCGGTCCCTGGAACTCACTGTGGGATGATGCCTGACACATAGTTAGTGTTCCACAATATTGGTCACATGAATGAATGAATGAATGAATGAATGGGTTTCCCCACTTTTAGACATATTGGGAGATCAACTCATAGTTTCCCAGAAATATGTGTCCCTGTTACTCACATCTAGTCCCCACCGCGCCGCCCCTCCCCCCGCACACACCTTGGTTTGGAGAGAGGGAAGAGGGAAGGGAAGGAACATTTGGCACACATGTACTGTGCACCACTCTGCATAGGTAACTGACCCCTGGCAAGCACTCAAGGATTACCTCCATCTTACAGCCAGAGAAACTAAGACTTGCGCTCTGCTTGTCCCTAGTGCTTAGCGCAGTGTAGGACATAAACATCTGGTGAACTGAATTGCAGAAGTTCAACAAACAGCTCAAGGTCACCGAATTAGGAAGTGTGGCGCCAGAATTCATCCTCAGCGCTGTCCGGTTCCAGCCAGTGCTATGTCACCACCATTGCACCAACAGAAACTCCAGGGATACATCCTCATTAGCATCAAGACACATGGAGGGCAGCCCAGCCAGGAGCCCAGCCTGCAGCTCAGCCCGCACAGGAGGCTGCTCTCTACATGCCCAAAGGCCGCAGCTTGAGCAAACCTTCCACCCCGGGCTAACTATGCCCCTTCCTGCCCTACCCCAGCCCACTCCCAGACTGCCCACTTCTATGCTCCACCATAAAGAGAGCTGACTAGTGACAAACATAATATACTACGAATACACTCTGACGTCAAACATGTATTTTTTTTAATTAGCCATAGTTCTGATTTATTTGTGTCAGCGCCTCTTCCCAATGGGGCATGTGAGGGACACTTCATGGAATTATCCTGAGCTGGAAGGAACCCGAATGAACATTTAAAGCGGGAGCTGGCAAACTTTTCCCATAGAGGCAAATAGTAAATATTTTAGGCTTTGTGGGCCAAGAGGCAAAATTGAGGATATTATGTGGGGACATCCATATAATTTTCACATTACAAAATAGTGTTATTCTTTTGATTTTTTTTCAAACATTTCAAAATGTGAAACGACTCTCAGCTCACAAGCTGTATAAAAACAGGCAGCAGGCCAATTTGGCCAGCTACCTATCGTTTGTAAGCCCCTGATTTAAAGCAATACTTCTTAAACTTTAACGTGCATAAAAATTGCTGGAGAAGTTTAAAACAGATATCTGGGCCAACTCTTAGAGATTCCAGTTTAGGTGGTCTTGGAGGGGACCCCTGAATCTGCATTTCTAACTGGCAGACAATGATGCTGCCTATGCACGGAACACATTTTGAGCAGTACTGATAATCTAAAACACCCCATTTTATGGATGAGGAAACTGAGGTCCAGATAAATGATAGGCCCAAAGTTACACCCAGTGGATAAGGTGATGACATCTGCTCTGCCACTTCCCAGGGCTGTTTTGCCACAGAAAATTCCTCTCCATTTCCTTAACCCACTGAGCCCTCTCATGCTTCTGAGCTTTTTACTCATTCTTCTCTTTTCTGCCACTCTGCACATACTTGTGTATAATTGTCGCCGAGCCTGTCTTTGAAGCCTTGGGCTGTATCTTATTCCTCTTTGTTTCTAGCCCTTTGACAATGTCTGGCAGATAGGAGGCATCACAGAAATATGCACTGAACAAAAAGGACGAATGGATGCAAGGGTGGGTGGATGGATGGATGGATGGACGGACAGACGGACGGATGGATGGATGAATACTTCATGATCTATTGTCTGAAAATAATTTGCAAGACAAGCTTGAGCCTAGACCCCAATTCTTCTAGAGCACAGGCTATTGTATACTCCACAGCTGATCGTATACGTAGCACGCAAACAGTAGCAGTTACGCCTTATTGAATGTGTGTTGCGTGTGTTATTTACATGGCAGGCCTTGTACTGAGCCCTCCTGCCAATCCTCTCAGTAGCTCTGTCATTGGCCCTACCTTTACTAACAAGAAAATGGATGTTGAGAGAGGTAGAGCAACTTGCCTGAAGCCACACAGCAAATAACATCCTGGCCTCTCTGATTCTGTCCGCTGCGGCCCCTCGCTCCTCCCTCCCTCCACCAGTGTACCTCATCCGTCTGGCCCCAGGCTGGGCTCACCTCCGTCGGCATAGGTCTCGGTGCCATAGCCATCTTGCAGGCCATTGTTCCAAGTGCCCTCATACTTGGCACCGCTGCTGCTGCTCTGCCGGGTCCCATAGCGCCCCTTGAAGCCGTGTGTCCACTCGCCCTTGTAGAGCCAGCGTCCCTTGGTCTCTATGCCCAGCCCATGCCGTTTGCCCTGGCTCCAGTATCCCTCGAAGGTGTTTCCGCTGGGCCAGGTGTAGACGCCCGCCACTTCAAAGCCAAAGTTCCAGGAGCCTGAGTATTCGCCCTGGCCCTTGGGGCCCGTGCACAGTCCATGCCCGTGGGCCTTTCCGTTCTCCCAGCCCCCACAGTACGCCCCGCCATCGTCAAAATCAAAGCGGCCCCCGCTCATCTCATCATAGCCCCTGACAACCTCACTGTCCTCCAGCTTGGGGGGAAAGGGCGATGGGGGCGCCAGTGACACTCTCCAAGCTTGCTCAGGACTGGGCCCCCCACTCACCACCACCGTGCCCCAGCAGGGGGAAAGCAAGATGCCACCAGAGGCTGATTGAGCCCAGGAGCCAAGTCAGCACTGGGTCGGCTGGTCAGTGCCATGCCTGAGAGGCCCCCACTCAGTCAGCCAGAGGAAGGCTGCCAGCTGGGAGGGAAGCGGGAAGCAAAGATTCAAAGTCTCCACAGAGCGTCCCAAGTCTGGCTTCCATGGAGTCAAAGGAAAAACGCTGTGATCCCTTTAAGAAGCACAGGGAAGGGGTCGGGTGGAGGGGTCCCCAGTCCATTTCGAAGAGGGGAAATTCCCCTCGGTGACAGTCCCAGCCCCCACCAGGCTGAACGCCTGCAGCCCGCTGGCCCCCTTCTCCTCCACCCGGTGGGCGTGCAGGGCTGAGCTCTCCCCGCCGCTGCCCCGCCCCTCTCCAATCCTGCCCTCCTCCCGGACGGAAAGGTCAGTGTTGCCCTAACAAGGCCATTGGATCTCAGAAGCTGCTCCCAAAATAACCCCCTGGCCAGCCCAGCCTCCTTCAACGCGGGAGGGGTGTTTCGAATTGGGCTAGAGCTTCAGACCCTGGGAGTGGCTGGAGGGATGAAGAAGGAAGCGGAGAACAAAGTGTAGGCAGCTGGGGCATTCTGGTGGTTATTTCTTCCCCTAGGTGAGAGCTGCCTTCCACCTGCAGGATCCCCCTGAATCCACGGGAAGCGGGGGTGGGGTCGGGTAGAGGAATCGGGAAGGGAGGGGGAGGAAAGACTAGCAGAACACCCAGTCCTGGTACACTTAAAATCCCCCAGAGCAAATCTCAGCCTCACCACCACTCACATGCCCTCACAGGTCCTAGGACTGTGGCACCACTGCCAGCCCCAAAATGGAATCTAGTGACCTAAAGAGAAAAGAACGGGGCCTGGTTTCACATATGCTTTTGAAAGCAGAGGAGGAATCTCAGGAGGGGAGGGTCGGTTCCAGAAACGCTCTGGAAGACAGAGCAAATCTGAGTCCCGTGCTCATGCAAAACCCCAAATCCTCTCTACCTAGGAACCCTAGTGAAAATCCTAGGAAGAACCTAGTGCAAAAGGCACCGATCACTCCCTTTCTCTCTCCTCCAAAGGGTAAATATCTCCTCTGAAAGGCGAGGAGTCTATCCTCTATCTCTGAGACACAGGGTTGCCTGCTGCGTTATAATGAGTTCGTCTCAGAAATACTCAAGGATCACGATTTTTAAAAAACTTTTCTTTCCAAGTTCTCTTTCACTCTTGTGTCCTAAGAGCCCGTGATACCAGACTTCATAAAGCTCCTGAGGCAGAGTCGGGAGTGAGGGACCTGTGAGGATTCCCAGCACTCGGGTTCCCACCGAACTCCAGTGAAAGGAACAAATAAATCTTCACGACGTGAAGCTGTGGCCAGGGCTAATGACTGGAAATCCCAACTGAACCCAGGGTTAACTGGAGCATAGGGTAGTTCCGGGAAAGGTTGGAGCCACCAAGGACAGAAAGCTGTGTGTGTGTGTGTGTGTGTGTGTGTGTGTGTGTGTGTGTGTAATGGGGGATAGAAATCACTAAAAAATAGGAGGCCTTTGAGAACATCAAACTATTATCTGACTTCAAAGTTATCTGACCTAAATCCCATGATGATGACTTAGGCCACTTAAAGTCACCGCAGAAATCTTGTTCATTTCAGAAATGAATAGAAAAAGTTCTCTTCTTTCCCCCCAGCTGATATCCAGTTCTTTAGACTTGGTTCCTTCACCGGCCACAGCCCCCTGTCTTAAAGAGCCCCTTCTGTGTCCATGTTTCATCCCTAAGTGAAAACACGCAGTCTCCGAGTTCACGATCAAAGGCTGTTTTCCAAGCTGGCAGGGAGCAAATAGCAGTGGATAAAGTCTGTATCATCTGGTTTTTGTCTCACCACCCAGCCAGGTTGACTGACAGCCCGCTTTCACAGGTCACTACCAAGAACACCTCAGTACCAACTCCAGAGGGTTCTGTCTGTGCCATTCCTCAAAATCGCATTGACAAATCACGTTTCTAGTGCTGCTCTCAAGGGGAGAGGAAAGAACATCTCAAACTGGAAGCCAGAGGAGTTTGAGTCGCCCAAGTTTAATACCCTTTGTAGTTAAATGCTGGACAAATCACTATAATCCTGTTCTAAGGCTGGGTGGCTGCTGTGTCCTAGTGAGCTGTTCTGCCTGTATAAATTTAGCTCCCTATGGTGGTTCCCTACCCAGGCTGGTACATGTAAGAATCATCTGTAGAATTTAAAAACACAGATTCCAGACCCCCACCTCATCCTCGACCTACTGAATTCTATTGTACTGGGGGAAGTCTGGGGCAGTTGCATTCTTTTTCAAAGTTCCTCAGATGAATTTGACTGTCATTCCTGGTTAAGAACAACTGTATGTTTTCAAATCAAGAAACTGTTTCTTCATAACATTTACATATTCATGAATCTAGTCACTAACCATGCGCTGTAGAGGGTGGGTAGTTGTGGGAGATAGGTGTTCAAATCCCAGTTCTGCCCCTCACAAGCTGTGTGACCTTGGACCAACTGTTAATTTCTCTAAGCCACAAATTCTTCATCTGTAAAAGTACCTCTCTCAAAGGATTGTTAGTATTAGGGACAATAATATCTACCTTATATGGCCAGGTAAGGATTACGTGAGTTAATACTGTAAAAAGGCTTAGAACCCACTAAACCCCTAATAAATGTTAGCCGTTATTATTATTATCTTCACATGAAAAGTTGCTTTTCAATCTGTCATGCTTATAGTCACCAAAGCGGGAAGAATCACCTGGAAAACATTAAGTAACCTGCCACTGAAGCAAGCATCCCCTCCTCTTCCCAAAAGGTGTTTATGCGACATTATTCTGTGGCTTTTCATTTTTAACCTGATAAACTATGTTATTGCTAAAGGTACACTTTGATTTCTGAAAAGTTGAATTAAATTCTTTGCCAGATTTGCTACTGGCCTTACCTGACCCGTGTTAAGCTTTCTGACCCGCCATCACTTTTTGGCACCCCACCCCACCTTTAAACCAGAGCATTTCAGGGAAAGGGAGACCTCTAGTGGCCATGTGTACATTACAACAGATTTTCCTTAGGAAAACCAGTTTCCACGGAGTGGAATTTGCTAAACTTGGAATAACTTTTAAACTGTGTTTGAAGGTATCTATTCCATTTGCTCTTTTCCCTGGGTCTTTTCTCGCTCCATCTTTGGTCAGATGGGGCAGTCACTTGCTTCCTCTATTTCGGTCTCAGCTTCTCAAACATGACTGCTTCCTTAGGGAGTCTGGGGAGAAAGGAACTGAAAATCCAGGACAGAGAGGACTCCGCAGAGAAATCCACTCGAGTTCTTCTCAGCATTGAAGACTCAGCCAAAGAAGCCTCATCTCCCCAGACAAGATGCCTGGCTGGGGGAGGTGCCTTCTCACACAATGGCACCTCCCCCAAACTGGGTGTATGAAGCAAGGATTACCTTCATTCCGAAACAATGTATCAACACCTACTCCCTGCCTGGAACTCTGGCTCATCTTTGTATTTCCAGTGCCCACACATAGTGGGTGCCCTTGATCTCTCCTTCTCTGTAATTGTCAGCTGACAACCGCCTTCTTAAAATGCTTTTTCTCTTGACTTCTAGGATTCCTCTCTTGGTTTGGCTCCTGTCTCACTGGCTGCTCCTACTCAGTCTTTTGCTGGTTCCTCCTCATTCTCTTGCCCTCGATACTTCGGAAATGTTCCAAAGCTTGGTCTTTGGACAGATTCTTTACCTGCAATTGCTTCCTCGGTGATCTCCTTCAGTCTCATAGTTTAAATAACATCTTTATATTGATTGCTCTTAAATCTGCATCTCCAGCCTGTACCTCTCTCGTGATCTTCAGTCATATTTTCAACCAACTCGACATCTCTACATAATATGTCATAAGCGTCTCGGACTTGACAAGATCAAAACCAAACTCCCAATTTCTCCTCTCGGATCTGCTCCTCCAGCCAGCTCTCAGCTTGTTAAAATCTTTGGCGTCATCCTTAATTGCAATCTTTCTCTCACACTCTATTTCCATCAGCAGATCCTTTCAGCTCTATCTTCAAAATAACTTCAGAATACAACTTTTTTCCTGCACTGCCAAGTGTCCAAGCCACTTGCCCAAATGGCTCCCTCTCTCCTCAGGAGTCAAAGCCTTTAAAATGGCTTACAAGGCCCTCCATGATTTGCCCCTGTCCTATGCTTCCATGACCTCTCCTGCTTTGGGCCACAGATGTCCTTGTTGTTCCTCCTGCCAGAAATGCCCTCCCCGCAGATACCTACACAGCTCCTGAACCAAATGGCCCCCGAATCAAGTGTCACCTTGTCACAGAAGCTTCTCTAACCACCCCAAATAAAGTAGCAGCCCTTCCCCCTGCCCCAGCCCTTACTACCGCCTAATCTTTCTCTCTCCGTAGCGCTTTTTCTGAGGACAAGGATGTTGTTCTGCTTACTCTTCTATTCCCAGCACCTAGTATAGTGTGCCTGGTGTGTTGTAGACACTTGATAAATGTGTTGAATAAAATAATGTTCAATGAATAATTATTAAAGGCACATGTCAGGGTGCTACTCTTCAAAACAGTGAAAATTCCTGTCCACAGTCTGAACTTGTTTTCCAGGATGCATCAGAGAAAGATGCATCAGTAAGTCGTTTTCACAAAAGGTCAAATGTCTCAATGAGGGACACATTAAAGTTGGCCCAACTGGATTTGAGCAGAGTAATTTTTAGCTTCAAGAGTCAGGTTTCTGAGGATGATTTTGACTGAGGTATACTTACAACTCATTCCCACAAATCTGGAATGCCTCGCTTTCATTCAAGTACGGGTTTCTTCAACAGGTTACTCGGCCATTGGAACTGTGTCCTTTTCTATCCTGACACCCCTCCTCATGACAACTTTGTATGAAAGGAATGTGAATCATTCTTCAATCTCTGGTGACTGTTCTGTTAATACACAGAATTAAGTAAAACACCAGACCACTGGTTTGAAAAGCAAACCAAAAAGGGCTTAAGAGACTTAGGAACCATCTGAATTCAGTATGTTCAGCCCATTTGCTCCACTTCTCCCCAATAAAAAAGGCAAAGCAAGTCACAGAGTTGTGAAGGAGAGGGCAGGGTGGCTTTACAACCAGCTCTAATGGCCAATTAGTGGTTCTCGAAGTGTGGTCCGAGAATCCACTCTTTCAGGGGATCTGCGAGGTCAAAGCTGGTGTCATAGTAACATTATTTTTTTCGTGCTCATTGTCTCACAAGTGTAGTTTTCCAGAAGTCACATG